GCTGAATGGCTACGCTTTAAAATGAATGTAAACTTTAACGTTTTCGTCTATTATTTATTTAGCAATTTACATTTCAGTCGAGGATTGCGCTTTTTTTTTATACACCCTGTATAACGAGACTGTTCGTCCAGTTCTAACTGATGATACGCTTGACTCAAATCAAGTTTCGAGAAAAATTTTGCTTCACTCAGGGCAAAATTAACATCATTTACTGTTGGTATAGGATGGCGTACTCTTCTTATAGCTTCATTTGCGAGCCACATATCGACACATATGCGAACCTGTCCGTCTTTTTTGGGAACAGCTACAATCGGTGAAACCCAAGGAGTAGCTTCATTTTCGGGCACTTTTTCAATGATATCTTGATTTTCTAATTCAGTTATCGCGTTTTTCACTTTTTTCTCGAATGTGATAGGGTATGCGCCTTTGGGGTTGTGCTTTCGGAATTTTAGTTTTGTCAATATCTAGTTTGACTTTTTCTGCCTTTAATTTTCCAAGATCGGAAAAAACTTTAGAATGCTTTTGAAGGATGTTTTCTAGTGCGGCATCCTTTGATGTCAGTTCGTCTAGATACAAACTAAAGAGAAAGTAAGTTTCCACAGTTCGCAGTTTTAGCGACATAGAATGTGGCTACAGATATTTGTTTTCGTGTTTCGATTACCGCTTCGAATTTGCCCAAAAATTCAACTGGTGATTTCGTATTATACGCGAAAGCTTTCGTGTTCGTGCGAGTTAATTTTATGTCTTGCATTTTGTTAAAAGTGTCACGATCGATCACATTTATTGTCGCGCCACTGTCAATTGTTGTTTGAAATTTGGCACCGCCTACTTTAACATTGACCTGCTTTGTATTTGTCATGGTATATATATAGTCTTCATCGGAACTCGAGTTTGATCCTGTATCTAATGTTTTTAAATTTCTTTGTGCATGCTTTTTGTTTGAGTATCTCGGTGATCGCGTTTGTTTTTGTTTTCCTCGACAAACAGCAGCGAAATGATTCGGTTTTCCACAATTATTACAGGTTTTCCCTTTCGCTGGACATGCTCCTGTGTGTGGATAAGCATGCCCACAATTTCTGCAAATAACATTACTACTGTTCGAAAAATTACCGTTACTAGGTTTTTGTTCTAATTTATTAGCTTCACCGTCAGTTTGTTCTTTAGACTATTCCATTTGTTCAGCTTGATACTTGCTCTATTCGTCACGACGTCCTTCTAAAAGCATTGATTTTAAGTCAAATGTAGGATCACGCAGTGCTCGCTTTCGTATTTTTGATGAATTTCCGCCTATAATGATTTGTTCTTCGATTTCAAATTCAACGTCTGCGAATTCACAGGTTTCTGATCTTGCTCTAAGTTTGGTGTGAAATTGATCTAATGTCTCATTGTGTTCTTGAGTTGTTTAAGTGAGTTTGAATCTGTGAACACCATATCGGTAGATAATTCTAGTCAGACATATGAAATAGAGTCGACTGAATATCATTTAACTCGGGTTAGTCGAGAATGCAATTGCGCATGCAGTCAATCCTCTAAAGATATTGAAATTTTGAAATCTACAATTACTAAGCTACAATCGTCAATTGACTCATTCGAGATTATATTGAAGGATCATGACTCAGTCCTTTCCATGTACAATAGGGCTGCAGATATGAATGACAAATACTTAAAAGAGATAAATGAGAGTAAACAGCATATAGTATATCTCGAACAGAAATTGCTTGAGACAAGTCAAGAAAGAGATTCTCTACAATTAGCTACTAGGCTTATTGCCCAGGACAAATACTGTCATCATCATACAAGTCAGAATGAGGTAGCTGAAACCGCAATGGAAAAACTATAATGTTTGGCAGAAAGTGCATAATACTAATAACAATGGTGTGTATCATAACAAGCAAACTAAGCAATTAACAAGAACTGACATTGGCACCGCAAACAGATTTGAATTATTAATTAACGAGGATGGAAACAATAGCTGTTGTGAACCGGAACCGGAACACAATCACAAGAGCTCACAAGCAAGAAATACACAATCGACTCACGACCCCAGCGATCATTCCCAACTAGACAGTAATGATGATCAATCCGCTCAACACGTCAGGTCTCCACAACAAACATCCACCTCTAGTTCTCTTTCCAATCAAACCCTAAATAGGGGTTTGAATGGAAAGCAAGGTGGTAAACGGCATAATGGCGATCGTAAGAATCAAAAGTCTGGACACTCATCTCGCAAAGTAACTATTGTCGGAGATTCAATGTTGAAGAACCTGAAGGGTTACAGGATGTCCAAAGAAAACAAAGTCAAAATATCTACATTTCCTGGTAGTACCACTAGAGATATGTATGACTACATTAAACCTGTTCTGAGAAAGAAACCCGACCAAGTAATTATACACGTAGGTACAAACAGTCTACGAGAATCTGAAAGCCCCACATCCTGTGCAGAGGAAATTGTTGAATTAGCTAAATCGGTGGAACAGACAGATGGAAAGGAAACGGAGGTAATTATATCAAGTTTAATATTCAGATCAGATGATAGTAGACTTGGGAAACAAATTGATGAAGTGAACTTAGCGTTAAGTAAGTTATGTCGACAACACAATTGGACACTAATAGACCACTCAAATATTACACAAAAACATTTAAATCGAAGTGGTCTGCATTTGAATAGAGACGGAACTACTCAATTAGCTCGTAATTTTTTAAATGTCATAAATCATAATATTTGAAATATTGCCGGATGGGAATCCCTAATCTCTGTGCTGCCAGATGATAATAATGATAAAACTGAAGATACACCTTTAACTATCGGTCATAACGTCTATGGACGTGGCTTAGTGATGGCCTCGTTAAATATAAATAGCCTTTTAGCTCACATTGACGAACTTAGGGTGTATATGAATAATGGTAAAATAGATGTGCTTGCAATTAACGAAACTAAATTAGATTCAACGATTGAGAATAGTGAAATCCATATCCCTGGATATGAGATAATTAGGAAAGATAGAAAAATTAATGGTCGAAACGGTGGAGGTGTCTGTATTTTTGTGCGATCCAATATTAATTATATAACGCGAGATGACTTGAATTCCGAAAATTTAGAATGTCTTATAATAGAAATTACCAAACCACGGTCAAAATCGTTGATTCTTGGCACATGGTATAGACCACCAAACTCTCCAATTAGTTATCTACGTAGATGATTTTGAAAATATTATTGGAAAGCTGGACTTAGAAAATCAAGAGATGTGTATATTACGTGACATTAACATAGATCTTATGCATGAACCGATCTCGACCAATGCTGTAAAACTGAATTCCATACTAGATATTTATGGTATGGATCAGCTAATAAACGAACCTACAAGAATTACTAATTGTTCTCAAACCTTGATTGATCTATGTTTCACAAATGTACCATCAAAAATAATAAAATTCGGCGTTAACCACATATCTATTAGCGATCATTCACTTGTGTTTATGACTTATAAAACTAATATAGAACGTACCGGGACGCGCACAATAAAAACTCATTGTTTAAAGAATTTCAATAGAGATAATTTTCTTAGAGACTTGGAACAAAAGCGGTGGTGTGATGTTAACACAAATACTGATCCTGATGATATGTGGGACACGTGGAAAAGTTTATTAATGGAGTGCATTGACAAGCACGCACCATCTCGCTCCAAAAGAGCAGGCAAAAAAAAATCGCCGTGGATAACAAGCCAATTGTTACGACATATGCATAAACGAGATTATCTGAAGCGGAAAGCAACATTGGCCGATGATCAAACTTTATGGGAAGAATATAGGGTTGCTCGAAATCGTACCAATAACGAAATTAGAAAAGCAAAGCAAGAGTATTTTATAACGAATTTGGAAACTGCTAAAACAAATCCAAGAAAAACATGGAAATTAATTAACGAACTAAGCTCGCGTAATTGTAATAAGTCAAGTAACACATAACGAGATTAAAGTAGACGGAAAAACAATAAATACACCTGCAAATATAGCTGAAGCTTTTAACAATCACTTCTCAAATATTGGTGAGAATCTAGCCTCAGAGATACCCATTTCTAACGTCAACCCTGAAGACTATTTAGAATCAACTGAGCAGAGATTTTCCATTAGACCTCCTACGATTGATATGGTTTATATTCTGTTGAGTAAAATTAACGAACGAAAAGCTCCAGGTCTCGACAACATTCCTAATAAGCTGTTAAAAATAGCAGCTGCAATAATCTCACCATCATTAACTGATATATTTGCCAGATCAATTAACACTGGCATATTTCCATCCGAGTGGAAAATGGCTAGAGTAACACCAATATTTAAGAAAGGAAAAAGGAATGATCCGAATAACTATCGACCAATATCAGTTATTTCAGCTGTAGCCAAAATCTTCGAAAAATTAATCTTTGAGCAACTTTATAATTACTTCAGTTCTAACAGCTTGTTAACGCATTGCCAGTCCGGTTTCAGGTCGTTACATAGTACACTTACTGCTCTTCTTGAATCCACTAGTAACTGGTCAGTTAATATTGACAACGGCCTCTTCAGTGGAGTAATATTTATCGACCTTAAAAAAGCATTCGATACTATTGATCATCAGATATTGCTGCGGAAGCTTCGAATTTACGGTATGGATCAATTAA